AAAAGGACATTATGTTAAGAATGAAATATCGGAATATGGAAGGATTAAATTATTAAGAGGTATCTTTACTTAATTATGTTACAGAGATTATGAATTTTATTTTCATTTTTACATATTTACATGTTATAATCTCCTTTGTATTTAGGTGCTGACCCTAAAAAAGATCAAAGCTATTTTCTCTCAGCGGTTCTTGAAGAAAAATTTCGAAATGTAAAGTTTAATATATAATAATATGTTTTTATATAATATTAATCATAATAATTATAGGTAATATTCCCAATTGGACATATGCTTAAATCGGATGATAAAAAAACAGCACATGAAGCAAAACTTGCCGTTGCAAATAAAAAAAGAAAGTGTTTGCTTTGTGGGTAAAAAGAAACCATTTTCGGAATTTCTGGAACAATATCTTATTGGTCAACTTGGTGACATTAAAACTTTGGATGGTAAAATCATAGGTAAAATTTTTTTTGCTTTTTGTTATTTTAGTTACATCGATCGTTTATTAAGTGGTAATCGTTTAAGGTCAACATAAAGGACAACATGCGTACACAATTGGTCAACGTGTTCAGTTTCTTAATTGCCCAAGTGTGTAGTCATAAATAATCTCTTATTCGAAAATATATATATAAATATATATAATTTTATTTAAATATATAAAATTTCCAATCTAAACTGACATTATATGATAAAGCTATTATTACGAGTGAATACTATATTAATATCCTTTTTTCAGAGGTAATCCAATGTTTTTCTCTAATAGCCTTATTGCCAAAGATTGGTGGATTTAGGAATTAAAGACGGTGCGATAATGATAATATATATGAATAAGTTAACTTGTATGTATATATAAAATAGGTGCTTTTTTTTTGATCAAATAAGATATCGTCAAGATCCAGATCAATTTAAAGTGCAATTAAGGTAATATTTACTACATAATTCGTTTACTGTTTATTTGAATAAATTGTTAAAATCATTGATTTACTGAATGAATAATTTCTAGATCTGATAATAAATATTTTGTTGAATTTAAAGAACCTCAATGGACTATAGCTCCGGGACAGGTGTACATTATAATTAAATTAAATCATTTTTATTTATATTTTCATTTATAATTTATTATTTGATTTAGTATGTTGTATGGCAATAGGTGCCTTGGTTCCAATCAAGTCTTAGATAATCAAATAATATAATTATTAAGATAACTAATTAAAAATATAATTAAATGAGTATTTATAGTAAGGTTTAAATTTTATATTATTTATAACTTTCATTTTTCTATTAACCTTCCATCCATTCAACCGTTTTTTTTTTTCATTTTTATGATTCTTGCAATGTTTCTTTATTATAAAATTTCTTCATATGATATGCCATGTGGTACATGTGATGTGGTTTTCAGAAACGAAAAAGGAAATGATGTCATGTAGTTTTAATTACTTGTAAATAATCTTAAGGGTTAAGGATTAGGATATAATTTTTATTAAATATCCCTCAATTTCTCATGTGAAAAATTTCGAAGAGGCGTAAAAGCTTATATGGATAAAAGGTGCTAGCGGCAAATCTTATGAGGAAATTATGTTGCATATGGTTAAAATGCTAATCAATCTACATCCTAAATTATGTGTCAAAAAAACTGAACATCACTCAGTTGAAAGATTAACACGAGCAAATAATATACTTTTCAAGCAAATTTTTGTTTTATCTAAAGTCTTCGATTTTGGTAAAAAAAAAAAAAAAGGTTACATCCACTGAAATGGATTTTGACTTGAAACGTAAAGTAAAAGCACAAGAAATCATTAACAATTAACAGTTTGATTCTGTATTCTATTTATTTTGTTCACAAATTTTTTGAAAAATAAAAACTTCACAAGGCGCAGTTCTAAATTCTGCCGACCAGGTAGATACGTTACAGAAACAATTTTTAAATAATTTCTAAATAAAAGAAATTTTGAAGATCGAGATGGCAACTCAAAAAAATCAAAAAGATGAGATTTATGAGTAATACTAGAGTTGCAAATAAACTACTTCATGTTCTGTGAATTTTCCTAGGATAAAGTTGTTTTGTCCCAATCATCCTTGGATATCATCACTAAAGAACTGATAGGTTCATTAAGGAACAGAATCTGTTTCTTAACCACAAATATTTCATTTACATGAAATTTAACGGATATTCCTTTATCACCTTCACATTACGAGAGTATTATCTATAAATAAAGCTTGATATAATCAAATTCCTTATTTTTATTATACCATTTTCTCAACTTTTAAGTAAATATAAGAAATGTAATGAATTTAATCGAGATCTATCTTATATCTGGAATAAAATTTATCAAATTTATCAGGATATAAGAAGTGAGTTAAATAAAGTAACTTCTTTTAAAACGAAATATTTTCATAATTAGTTGTAAACAAAAAAGTGGGAATTATAGTTTGCTTGCTAAAAATGATAACGATATAATATTAATGCAAGAAGCCACAATTTCATATTACTCTTGTTTTAAGAGTTTATAATTTGTTAAAGAAAAAAAGTCATTCCACAATATAATTTTCCGATAAAAAAACAAAATATCATCAGACCTGTAACCTCTCAAGGTTACACCATATAATCTAGATTTCATCTGTCTCAGAAAAATCTCGTAGTCAAAAATCAACCAAAGTAATAAAATTTGGTACATCAATACGTGAAGAAACGAATTTTTCATTATTATCAAACCTTTCACTTATGCTTGAGACTGTAATAAAACTTCGTGGTTTAGGACAGAGTGGTTTTAGTTACTAGTGGTACGATTGGAGTTGGACTAAGACTAGAAATGGATAAGAAATAGCTTCAATTCAAGTAATTTTATTGATTCTTAAAAAAAAAAATATTAAATCAAGTTTTCTATTTTGCATAATAATAATTGATTAATTTTTGGTTTATAGGCCGTGGTAGCTTTTGGTCAAGGAAGATTGATGAGAATGTATGATGACTTACATCGGCAAAAGAATTTGTTGATTCAATTGACTAAATAAGCAAGAAGAAGAAGAATAATAATAATATGTACTCAATATCTTAATGCACATTCTCTGAATTGTTAGCTATGGGCATAGTTCACATTGTTAATGAGAATGATATTGTTTCTGTGAGTGTGATCATCCTTTATAATTATTATTCTTATTAATTACCTTTATTATTATTATTATTATTATTTTATTATTGTTTTTATTATTATTATTGTTTTTATTTTTTATTTTTATTATTATTATTATTTTTTTTTTATCTTTATAAATAAAAATTAATATTTTTTTTTTTATATAAATAAAATTAATATATTTTTTTTTTATATAAATAAAATTAATATTTTTTCTTTATAAATAAAATTAATTTTTTTGTAATTCAAAAATAGGAAATCAAATTTGGGGACCTTTCATCATAACTATAATGTTTAATGCAGATTACTTATTTTAATGACAATTTATACTAACCAATCCTAATTCTAAACTATTGAAGTTGTTGAAAATGTCGGTTCTTTGAAAAGTCAAGGTTTGATATAACTTTTATTTTTTGTAAACAACAACATATACATTAAATATTTTTATTTTTTTTTTATTTTTTTTTTCATTAAATATAAACATACATTGAATAAATTGGTAGTGACCGTTTCATCGCCTGGAAGTTCATTGGACAGCCGCCGGAATTGCCACAATAATGTCATCTATGGATGTAAAAGTTTTGATATTGTAAAAATATTGGAATATGTTGGTTCTGAGTGTGTAATACATAGATTACTTTTTGAGAATAATTTATAAAAAGTCATATTTAATATTTTATTATATAGAAAGAATTAGAAAAATGTGGAGATATCATTTAAGTAATTTAAGTAATCATGTTTTTATTGATTTTTATTTATAATTTTTAATGAAATCTAATTTTTAATACAAATGAATGAATAAATAAATACTTTAAATAATTAAATAAATGATACAAAATGATACAAAAAATAATAAGCAAATAATAATTATCCTTCATAAATATATAATAATAATAATAATAATAGAATTAATAAATAGTTGTATTTGTGTTTGTTCCATCATTAACTTCATTACCATTTACTCCACTACTATGACTGAAAGAATAATTAAAAGCTGATTGATCATTTGGATTATATTTATTATATATATTATTAAATTTATCGTCTTTTTCAATTTGTAACTTTTTTACCATATTTGATAATTCCGAGACAGCTTCATCATCTGATTTGGTAATGTTTGAAGTTGTTCTTTGAGAGTTGAATTCTTTATCAGAGTAATCCTGAATAATAATAATTAAATTATTTAAATTATATTTAAGATTAATAATAAAAAATATTATTTTTTTTTTTTTAAAAAAATATTTACCTTTATAAGTTTAGTTAACTTTCTATAATCAGGATCTTCATGATGAATCTGTGCACATTCTTTCTTCAAACGTTGAATTACTTCTCCATAAGTTGGACATTTTAAAAATCCTTCTAAACTTTGATTACAATTTAAGCAAACTAATCCTAATTGCTCTTTAAATTTAATATCATCTATCATATTATTATTATTAAAATTATTATTACTGTAATTATTATTGTAATTATTATTATTATTATAATTATTATTATTATAATAATTATTATTATTGTAATTATTATTATTATTGTAATTATTATTATTGTAATTATTATTATTGTAATTATTATTATTGTAATTATTATAATTATTATTATTGTAATTATTATTATCTTTTTTAACAGCAACTTTACATAATTCTTTAAGATTAGATTTAGGAAATCCACATTTACCGCAAGCAGCAATTTGATAATGAACATTTTTAGGGAATTGACATATTTCACAAAATTGTTTTTTAATTAATTCTTTACGTTCATTGAGAGTTGCTTCCATTTCTAAAATCCATTGATTACAAGATTGACATTCCGCGAAATCTGAATTCGGTTGTCCACATCCATGACATATTCCATATAAATCACGATGAAGTTCAGTAGGTGAAATTGGATAATTATTATTATTATTATTATTATTATTATTATTATTAATATTAATAATATTATTATTAATATTTAAATTATCATAAGAAAATCGATAATTATTATTGATTGAACGAGAACGAGAATGAGAATGAGTAGACGTTGGAGTAAGAATTGGAGTTGGAATATTTCCATTATATGTTTGATTAGGTACATAATTATTTGGTGACATGACAAAAGAATCTCGATGGTCATTAAAATAACGTGGTGGTACCTGAGTGTTTATATTAGAAGTATGAAGTGGTGGAAGTGGTGGTGTATGTGTAGGTGTTGGTATTGAATTTTGATGATGATTATTATATACAGAATTATTAGTATTTGTATAATTTTCCTGAGTTAATGGTTGAAATGTTCTTGGATCAACGAATCCTCCAGGATATTGAGATTGTCGTTGAGCTACAGGGTGAGGTTGACCTGAATATTGATGATGTGGCGTTTGATGCGTTTGATGCGTTTGGTGTGTTTGTGATGAAGTCGGCGCCACGAAAACATTATTATTATTATTTACTGGAGGTTTATATGACATTCTATTACTTTTCATTTTCTTTTAACAAAAAAAAAATGTAAAATTAAATTGAAAATTAGATTAAAAATTGGACTGAAAATATTGAAAATTAAATTGAAAATTGGATTGAAAATATTGAAGCGAAGAAATTAGGGAGGAATTTTATTGAAAATTTTTTTTCCAAAAAAATATGAATAATGTGGATATTTTCATGCTTGTCTTACATACACATCTGTACGTATAAAACTGTATTCACGTGTATTGTTATGTATGTGGACCAGTAATTGCTGAATTATATATTTTATATTATACTATACATATTGTGCATATTTTCTTTGCGGAATTGATACTTCATCTTCTCTCCAATGCATATTGTGCATATTTTCTTGCGGAATTGATACCTCATCTCTCCAATATCTTTACCCTTTATTATTCTTTATATGTTCTCTTTGATATATTCTCCTTTGTTTCATTAAATATGTCATTTATATATAGTACAAATATCATCATTTGACTTTTGAAAATAGAAAACAAAATGGTGTATATACTGTATACCAGTGTTGTACATTTTACGTCCGAGTTTTTGTCCGCGTCAGCGCTGTCCGTACTCTTAACTAGCGCTTATTAATATATATTGAAACCTTGTGAGTATATGCAAAATTCAAGTTTAAACAATTTTAATTAATGGCTAAAAATAGGTTTTATAATAAAATTTTGCGTTATTTACGTTGTAAAGTAATTTATTTTTGAAGCACTGTCCAACGGTATCCCTTGATAACACTGCTGTATATGCAACTATAATTGATTGGTCAACACTCAGAAGAATAAAATTGTGTAAATTAATGGTCATGTGAATAAGAGAGAACATCAATAAAATTATAAAATTAGTAATTTTTTAGTACAGATATTTAAAATCTTGACTAACTGGATATCTAAATCGATTAAAAGTTATTGACCTACAAAGTTCGGGTATTTACATATAAATAAAAGATTGAAACGGCCAATTCCTGTAACACGAGCCTTTATAAAAAAATAGAAATTTTTACCCACATGATCTCACGTGTAATAAAATTCTCTCACGGGAGGCAAAAGTTTCTTTTTGATAATTTTTTTTTGATATCAAGATACGCGTGAAAAAAGTGGTTATTTTTTGATATGCCTTTAATTATTTATTTATAAATGCATCAAAAAGATAACATTTTGTCACATGAAATTTGATATACAAAAAAATAACCACCATAGAAAATTAGAAAATTCAATGATTCGAGACATTCGAGACGAAATTTCTGAAAATGACTAAATTTAAAAAATATTATATGATTGGTTGGATCATCAAGTCATTTATCTAAATTATATTTGTGTGACGGAAAATCATTCATTCATAGCATTCATAACTAAATTTAAAGAATATTATATTATTGGTTGGATCATCAAGTCATTTATCTAAATTATATTTGTCATTCATTCATATCATTCATAACTAAATTTATATGATTGGTTGGCATTTATCTAAATTATATTTGTGTGACAGAAAATCATTCATTCATTCATTCGAGATTTTTATTTTTTTCCCCCATCCCTAAAAAAAGCACAATGGTAAGCACAAAAAAACATACGGCAATACATGGCAAAAAAAAAATTTTGAAAAAGTTTGAGTTCAAAATCAAAATCATCAGTTTATAATGTAACATAATTTAATAATTAATTATTTATAATTTAATCTTCAGGATCCTTTCGTGGGAATAGCGATATATCTAGGAATCCTTAGTTTATTAATATTTATATTGTTAATGGGACCATCGCCACGTTTCAGGTAAATTTTTTATTATTAATATCATCAATATTATCTGTTATTATTGAATTATTTTTGGATATATATTTTATCTAATATTTTATTTGATATTTTATTCTTTTCGATATTTTAGAAATGGCATAATTGGGAAATTAAATTATCTCATAACGGTTGCTTTATTTAGATGTTTAGGGTAAGTACTTAAAATTAATGAATGAATTTATTAATTTTATTAAGTTTATTAATTTGATTATTATTTATATTAAAAATTTTAAAAACTTTAGAATTACAATTCGAAAAGTGTTGGGGAACAGAGTTTCACGAATGACTGATGGAATATATTCATATTGTATGGAACAAAAGAATCCAGTTTTACCAGTAAAGAAGAACATTTTAATTTATTATTATTATTATCATCATCATCATCATTATCATTATCAATAATAATATTAATATTATTTATTATTATTATCATTATTATTTTTAGTCAATCTTTTTATTTCTCATGACTGGATCAGTTTATACATTCTTTGTCGCGGGATGGCATTATGTTCCAGGACCTTATGTTTCCAAAATACATGTGTAAGTAATGTTCATTAACTTACTATTTATTTTTATTACATTTATTTATATCTATTTATTCATTTATCTTTATATCCATTCATTCATTTAATAATAATAATGATGATGATGATGATGATGATAATAATAATACAGATATATTATTCCCTTGATAATTGCCTTTACATATTTATCATATATAATAGCATGTTATAGTGATCCTGGAAGAATTTCTAAAGAGAATGTAGTTAAGGCTTGTAAAATGTTTGAATATGATTGTTTAATGTTTGAACCAAGAATTTGTAGAACTTGTTTATTTCCAAAGTAAGAATTATTTTTCTTTCATGATAATTATCATTATCATTTTTTGTTTCAAAGGGACATATAAGAAAATAATTATTTTGTATAATAGACCTGCTAGATCAAAACATTGCTCACTATGTAAAATGTGTGTGGCAAAATCTGATCATCATTGTAAGTGAATATTTTTTTTTCTTTAATAGAGAATTATTATCTAATTACTAAAAAATATTATTATTTTTTTTATTGTTTACATTTAATAGGTGCCTGGATAAATAATTGTGTTGGTCTTAAAAATTTTCGTTATTTTATTTTATTTTTATATTCATTAGTTCAAATATGTTTCTATGGAACATATATAATATTATGTATATTTTGTGGAATAGCTAAAAACATGAAGTTATCTTCAGCTTTGGTTAAAAATCCAATAACAGGAATGAAAAGTAAGGTTTCTTACTATCAAATGGCTTTGGTGAGTTTTTTTTTTTTTTATTCATCTTATTTATTATATTATCATTTATTCATTTATTTATATTTATTTTTATTTCTATTATACATTTATTTAGTTATTAATTCATTATGAAAGTTTTTTGGGAATATTAGGACTATTTATTGCTTTAGTTGGAATAGTAATTTTAGTATTCTTAGGTTATCAATTTTATTTAATTTTCTCTGGTTTTACGTCCAATGAATCATCAAAATGGTCAGAAGTTGAAGAAATTATTATGGATGAAGAATTATGGGTATATGAAAGTGAAATTGAACCAAAGTCAAATGATAATAATGATAATAATAACAAATCTAGAAAAAAGAAAAAGAATAATGATAATGTGAATAAGAAAGATATAGGTATTGAAGAAAAAGAGAGAAAAGTGAATAATAATATTATTATTAAAGGCAATAAAACGTATTGGATAAAACCTAATAATCTTAGAAATAGACAAAATAATCAAAATAGTAATAATAAGATAACAAGTGAAGGAAGTAATGCAAATAGTTCAAATAGTGCAAATAGTGTAAATAATGAACATCAAGAATTATTATCATCACAATCAACAACTGCATCAACAACAACAATAAAAACAACACCAGCAACATCACAATCAAATGAATCTAATAATGGTATTCAACGATTTGGTAAACAAGTGAAATCAATATCGGAAGTAAAGAATATTTATGATAAAGGAAAATGGAATAATCTTCTTGAGGTTTTGTTTCCACCTTCGTTATAAAATTTTTTTAATTCATTTGATTAAAGAGGTATAACTTTAAGAATTATTATTTGAAATTGGGTCTCCAGATGTTTTTTACAATATTATCATTATTATTATTATTATTATTATTATTATTATTATTATTATTATTATTATTATTATTATTATTATTATTATTATTATTAAAATATAGTTATAGTGTTTCATTCAATTAATGATAATAACAAATACACATATATAAAGATGCAATATTTATATACACTATATACACTTTAAATTATAGAATTTATTTCTTATCAACATGATAAGATTTCTATTTGTAAACTTTTTCAGATACCGAATTCCCTTCCTTTGCTTTCTTACTGATAATTTTTTTGTTTTTTTTTTTTTTTTTTTTTTGTTATTATCTTTTATCATCAAAAATAAAAGAATGAAAGTTCAATGAATTGATATTTTTTTTTCTTCGAACTTTTCAATTATTATTATATATATATTTATTTATTTATATTTATTCATTTATTTATATTTATATATATATATATATGTATATATATATATGTATATTTATATTTATATTTCTTTATATTTATATTTCATTCATTCATTCATTCTTTATACTTATTTATTCAGTCATCGTCAATTGCCCAACGAGTTGATGTTTCTCTTCGAATATGTGCAGTTGCTGGATCTTGTATTGACGGTGCATCATTAATATTAATATTATCATTATATGGCAAAGGGTTTTGAGTTGACACTAAAAAAAAAATTGATAAAAATAAAATAAATAAATGTGTATAATAAATATTGACGACTCAACAAGGTATATTATAATGAATTATTATATTTATATCATATTTATATTATATTTAGATTATATTTAAATTATATTTACCATGTCTTTTTAATCCTTTGCCAAAATTTTTTAGAACAATTATAGCCCAAATTAAAGTTAACTAAAAAGAAAATAATAATTTAATTTAATTTAATCATTTATTTATTGATAATTATGATTAAATATTATATAAAGTAAAATACTTACAATCGCCATCACGATACCAGATGTGACTAAATTTAAATAAATAATAATTAATTTTTTTTTTTTTTTGGTAAATAATATAAATAAATGGTGAGATTTTTACTTACTGTATATAATAAAAAAGTACCAACTATCTTGTGATGAAGCTCGAGTTGATTTAACAAGTAAAATTATAAAATCTAAAATTGTTATCATCCAAAGGCCTATAAACATTTTCATTCTTATATGTGATTCTTCTGATAACTATTTATAAAAAATATAATAAAATAATTAGTTAATAATTAATTAAAAAATAATAAATTAATTAATAAGTAATAATAAGTAATAATAAGTAATAATTAATAATTAATTACTTACAGAATGATAAGCAAGCCATTGTAGAAAAATTATTGATATAGTTACAATCACATGAATATAATATATTATACTACGAACGTATCCATTTTCAATAGTAAAACAAGCTTCTATAGACATGACTATCATGAAGAAAATATCTAATTTTAACAACATTACAAAAATCAACATCGCTCTATAATATTCTTTTTTTAAAATAAATAAATAAATAAATAAATAAATATAAATAAATGAAAATAAATAAATAAATATTATCATAGAGAATAACAAAAAAAAATCAATAGAAATGAAAATTACTTCTCATTTTAAGATCGGCGCCAATCCTCGTATATATTTGCCACCCAAAAGCCTTAAATATTTATTGATTATTATTATTATAAGGAAAATAGTTATAAATAAATAAAATAAAATATCAAATAAATAAATATAAAAAATACCTGATATAATTTCACCGAGAAAAATCCCATTAAAGTTGCACATATCAATGATATGCCTATTAACAGTGCTTCGTGGCTTCCTAGTTGAAGATCATAAGATTTAAATTTTTCAAGAGAACACATTTCTATTGTAGTATTTTTCCATATTTTTATTTCTACAATTTGTATCTAAAATTAAATAATTATTTTTATTTTTAAAAAAAATAATTAATAAAATAAATAATTAAAATAAATAAATTAAATTAATTTATAATACATACAATAGCAAATAATCCTGTTAAATAATTTATCACCGCAATCGTTATAATTTGTATAGAATTTTGATTTACAACCTGGTAAATTGTAATAATAGTTAAAAATAAAGTAACATTCGTTAATTCGAGACATTCACAATCAATAATTCGAGACAAATTCGAGAAAATAATTAAAGACATTAGATATTTACCGCATCGAAACAAAACCACACTTGAAAAACGTTAAACAATATAAAGATTACATTTTCCCCAAAAATATTATTAATTCTATTAGAAGCATTTTTTATACAACTATTTTGATCATTTACTTCATCTCGAAATTGATCTGCGGCGTCTTGATTTCTAGAAATAATAAGTGCTTCAAATATAATTGTAATGAGAGATTGTATAATCGACGTAATAATGAATGCGCGTGTCCATTTTGATTCAGTTACCCTGGAGTACTAAAAAGGGAAAAAAAAAGAAAAAGAAATAATAATTTTTTAATAACAAACGTGAAGAATAATTCCAAATAAAATAAAGAAATGAATTTTAATACGTACCGAATCCAGAAGGTACGTTTTTATTTTAGTTAGTTTAAAAAATACTTTTGTCATATTTTTTTTTTTTTTTTTTTTACTTTTATTTATTTACTTTATTACTTTACAATTATAATGTTGCTATAATTATTTATTTGGTTATTTCCCGAAATTTTCTGAAATCGCTCAACGATAAATAAAAATATATATATATATATATCAAAAAGAATTATTCTAAGAAATTAATTAGAAGAAAATTTAAAGGATAAAAAAAAAAGTTCCTTGCAATAGAAAGATAAAAAAATATTTTAATTTTCCATTGTTTCAAAAATGAATTTAAAACAATTTTAAATACTCAATAAAAATAAGGCTAAAAAATGATCCTTTTTAGAATAACCTTATCGTAAAATATACAAACAAAAAAAAAATTGATAAAATAAAACTATAAAACATATCATACATATAATTTATTTTTATTTACAGGATTTATTTGTGTTTTCGTGTTTGAAATTTCGAGACATTTTTAGATATTAGAAACATTTCGTGGTAAATTAAAATCAATTGTTACTTGATGATCATTTCTTTAATAAGCAACAATTAATAACAAAAATTTAATAATATTATTCTCGTCACTTGGCAAATTTATTTAAAGTATCACTAGATATATTTTTATATTTATGATAGGAAAAACAATGAACACATGTGTACTTCTTCATAGAATTTCTATGTACTCTTGGTTCATCGTACATTATACATAACATATTTATTTATTATATTTTATTATTATTTATTAATTCATTTATTATTAATTATTTGACGTTTGTTTTGGAATAATTACAAAGCACGTAAATTTTTAACATGATTGAAAAAGATAAATTTATCATTTTATTTTATATATTTATATAATTTATATACAGTATATTTAAGAAAGAAATAATAACAAATACAAAAACAACGCAATGTGTACTCATTCTTTCTCACCACTACCGGAATTGAAATATCAGAAATATCTTCAAATATTGAATCATCATTCTCCTTTCCCACCAGAATTAGTATTACCATGTTCCCTATCAGGATTTAAATCATCAGAATCAAAATTATTATAATTACTATCGTTAAAAACTAATTTACTTCCAATATCAAGAGATTCATCTATATATCCCAAATGTAAAAATCTCGCCCAAAGAATTGCCAAGAATAAAAATGCCCATTGACAAATTAAATTTGCTGCTCGAATTTTACATGTGATTAAAATTTTATTATCATATTCTTCTTCATCTTGAAAATCAGAACAAAAGAGAGATGTAAATTCGCCCCACGTAAGATGTGTGTAAAGCACTTGATAAAAAAATGAAATTAAAGAATTATATTATAAATATTTTTTATACTTTTTAATAATTTGTTATAATTTTTATATAAAATTTAGTTATACTTACATGCCCAAACCAGCCATGATAAAAGTAACCACCTTGATCATAATTAAAGTAAAGAAGAAATTAATCAATTCCAAGAATTTGAATTTATAAATAAATCAATATAAAAATATACTTACATTAAAACTTGCTTTAAAGATTCATATGAAATCAAACAAAATCTACAACAACATTTTTTTATTGAGAGATATATCACTAAAACTAATTATATATGTATATATAATAAATAAAATTCATTTGAATAAATTCAAAGTTATATCAGACAAAGGATAGGAAGAATTATAATTAATTTTAAAAAACTTACAAGGACCAAAGAGAGAAATTACCAAATAACTGTAAAGTAAATGCAAATAATATAATAATATATATTAGGATTATATTAAAAATTATAAAAATAATTAGTAAAGAAAATAAATGTTTAAACTTACATGATTTCAACAGAAATTTCTAATTTTCTTTTATATTTTATAAAAAATATAATTTTAAGAATTTCTAAAAAATGAAAAATATTTAATGATACAATGAGAGAAAAGATGATAATAATGCCACATTCAGATCAATATCAAACACGCCCATACAATAATTCAACGAGAGAAAATTACCTAAAGCAGGACATCCAAAAAATAATATTGTTAATGGTATTAATAATACTATGCCTAAAGATATTTTTAGAAATTTCAGAAATGTGAACTTCGGCGACTTCGGCGACATAACTAACGATATTATTCTTCGATATTCTCGTTATTACAGTTCTATCTCGGTAATAGTTCTATCTCGGTAATGAGATAAATGTATATATATAAAAGGTATATAAAAATAATAATTGATTTTGATATTTGATTTTTTATTTCGATGATTTTTTAATTTCAATTAATTAATTATGATATAAATGTGGTTCAAGCTTTGAACAAGTTTTTCACCGAAAATTTAATATTTTTTTCATTTCAAAATTTCAGAATAATATACAAATTTTTTTTTATCAACCAAGACAGAATAAAGAAAGAATGATGTGATAATAATGAAAAATCGGGTGTAAAATTAAATGGAAAATATTCAAATTATCGGAAAATCGAATGTCGGGAAATAATAAAAATAATAATTTTGAGACTAATGGCTTAATATCGTTCAAACATTAATATATATTTAAGCCCGTTTTGAAGGCTTAGAAAAATAAATAAACAAGAATTTCGATGAACAATAAATGAGTGGATCGTGTTAAACTAAGCCTTCTCTATAAAATCTGACTATGATTCAATTTTTTAAAAAAAAAACTAGGAAAGGAATATTATTTATTTCGCTCTCATTCATTACTAATATTATTCCATTATCCACGGTGTTGGGATAAAAATTCGTAATCTTTATTATTTTATTTTTCTTTATTAACAGTTAACTTTACTTTATTATTACTTCTAACTATTGATTATTAGTCTTATTATTCTTATTTTATTAGTATCACATTATAATTATTATTATTGTTATGTTTATTGCTAATAATTGGAACGCTTAACATGTTAATTGGATTTCACTACTTATGATAGAATATTGTAATCATCCAAAGGATGACCAGGGAGACTGTCAAAATTCTATAAAAAGGAGTAACAAATTAATAAAGGAAATAAACTGAACTGACTGATTGATTGAGTGTTTCAGTCCAGTATTATGTTTTTATTTTTGTAATTACGTTATTTGATTAAAGTAATATCCTATCTTTGATTCACCACTTGTTCTATTATCTTACCTTCTTTTTGACTCTGGTTGTTATCTGGAGTTAAAAACCATGTACTTTTAACTGCAGCTCCTGTTGCAATTAATATTTAAATCATCAAATGTAGAGAAAACCAAAATAAAAGTAATTGTAAACGAGAAGTGTGAGTTAATTAATTAAATCTGCTAAAAAGATCAATTATATTCTTAAATATGCCCAGACAGATAATTGAATAACAAAATTCCCAACAGTGTAAAGGTTGTTTCTACAGGTAATTTTTCCACAAAAACGACGCGTGAACCACTACACCAAAATCTTGATGTTTTACATCACGCGCTGATTATTAAGTCATATTTATTGATGAATTAAAAATGACACCTTTTTGCAGTATGGCAGCCTTAAGATCAGTTCCAGATAGTCCACCTTGTTGTTGAGTAATTGATGAGGTAGAATCACTACCTGGAGTAGAAGAATGCTGAGATCTATGAATTACACACTCGGAGGCATACCCAAATATTTTTCCAATATCAAAACTTTTACATAATTATTGTGGTAATTTCTGGCGGCTGTTGCGATAGTTTTGTACTGTACCCAATGAACTCCCAGGCGATATGGTCACTACCAATTTATCTAATATATATATATAATGTATATGTTGTTGTTTACAAAAATAAAAGTTATATCTTCAAAACCAATATTTTCAACAACTTCAATAGTTTAGAATTAGGATTGGTTCGTATGCAAGTAATCTGCATTAAACATTATAGTTGTGATGGCTGAAGGCCTCCAAATTTGATTTCCTATTATTATTATTATTATTATTATTATTATTGCTTACATCGGTAAGAGAATTTGTTGATTCAATTGACTAAATAAGCCATCATACATTCTCATCAATCTTCCTTGACCAAAAGCTGCCACGGCCTATAAACCAAAAATTAATCAATTATTATTACGAAAAAATAGACAACTTGATTTAATATTTATTTTTTTTAAAGAATAAATAAAATATCTTTTTAAATTACTTTAATTGAAGCTATTTCTTATCCATTTCTGGTCTTATGCCAACTCCAATCGTACCACTAGTAACTAAAACCACTCTATGTCCCAAACTACGAAGTTTTATTACAGTATCAACCATTAGTGAAAGATTTGGTAATAAGATAATAATGGTAAATTCATTTCTTCTTCACGTATTGATGATGTATCAAATTTTTATTACTTTTATATGGTGTAACCTTTATTTAAAGAGATACAATTACAAGTCTGATGATATTCTTTTATCGGAAAATTATTGTGGAAATATGCTTATATTTTTTTTCAACAGAGTCATGCTGTATTAAACTTTATTTATTAAATAAACCAAATTTACTTTACAAAAATTTAATATTGATGAAAATGAATCATACATTTAATAAGACTGGCTATAAGCTGTTAACCTAACTGCCGTTATGGCAATTGATGGTCATGCCTTCACCCATCCCTTTTTGACCAATCTGAACAAAAAGTTGCTGGAAAGAAATATAGATGCACCCAAGAGCTAAAGGTGTAAAGAACTGTATACTAAAATTCATACAGCATTTAAAATTGATCTATAAAATATTGTAATTAGTAAATGTGATAAAAGGGTAATAAAAATCTATTCTTTACATTATCTTTGACTAATCTTAGTGTTCAAAATAAAATATAAATATGTACGATAATTTGTTCAATAAAATAAAATAAACCAAACACACATTAAAATAAAAGACAATAAACATGCACCCATGTCTATTGTGACCAAACTAATTCTTGAGCAAGGAATTGCATGAAACCTTATGCATTTCCACAATTGATGTTTGGATAGTGTCTATCCTGGTTCTCGGACTGTAATCAATCTATACGGTGTCACTGGTGGTTCCTGGTTTCCTCAAGAACCACCTAATGGAGTGACTTTACGGCTCTTTTAAGGAGTTTATAGTCCTTTCCCAAAGGTAAGACTGTTGTTCCATTATTTTAGAAGGTACCACTGATTCAGTTATTTTAGAAAGGGAATCAGACCTTTCATTTAATGTATTCCAATATCTTTTCAAGTTCATCATTATCCTTAGTATTAATACTTGTCTATTAATCATCTTTTAATTTCATCAACTTTAAATATTATTTCCAATTATTCAGTTTAATTATTATTTCAAGTCCAGGGTTTATTATAATAGTTTGTAATTAATTTCATTAACTCAGGAATAATAACATTATACAATTATACGATCAAGTATTTAATCCCATAACATCCATTA